CTGCCAGGCTAGGGCTTGACTGGGACCTGGTGCAGCTCAAACATTGTGTGGTCATCAGGGTCTATTAAAAAGTGGGGAGCTATGTGCAGCAGTTAACTGACTATGCCTCTGAGTTATTTCTCAGTCATTTAAGACACAGAGGAAGCTTGTAAATGAACAACACCCTCCATTCTCCAGCAAGGGCAACCTGGACCGGCACAGACCTGGCTGTGACGCTGATACCTCTGATTTTCCTCTTCATTCCTATGTAGTATTCTCTCTTTCCCCCTTCTGTTGTTCCTCTGACCCCTGCACCCGCCACCAGCTCATTCTGATGCCCTCATTTTGAGAGACTGCCGCGTCTGCAGAGGAAAATTGTAAAGGCTTTTCAATTGCCACCTGGACACTCCTGTGGCAGTGACAGTAGCCTCGTCCAGCTCAGTGCATCAGGACTGCACTCTTGCCCTCTCTCCCCCTCCCCTGGCATGAAAGCATCCTGGTGGAATGACGAAGGAACCAGCTTGGCAGTGGGGAGAGATGGTGAGAACCCTGGGGGGAACCACGTTCAGTATTGCAGCTAATTGACTATTTGATGAATTGAAGCAATTTGCTGCCCGCTTGGTAATTCTTCGACTTACACCCCAAAGCAAATAACAAGATAAAGCCATTTCCAGGTATTATGCCTTTCTAGCAATAAGGAAACCCTCAAGGGCCAGTTGCTGACTGCTTCCTGACGAGGTGCACAGTGGAGGGCCTACAGCAGGAGCAACTGATAGTTGATATCACTTTGATTGTTCTCGCCCAGTGTCCCTGCGAGTGTTTGCGAGACCAAAGGGAGGGTGGGGGAGACAGTTTCCCCAGCCTCTGCTACAGCACCAGCCAGCAGACCTAGCTAAACACACAGGAAGCTGTACTCTCTAAGGCTCTGTAGCACTTCTGGGAGATGATCGCTACGGCAATGGTATTCTTCCATTGGTGTTGGTAATCACCTCTCCCTGAGAGGTGGTACCCAGGTCGACAGAAGAATTTTTCCATCCACCTAGCACAGTCTCCACTCCAAGTTGGATTGGCTTAACTCTGTCTCTCGGGGGTGTGGATTTTTGACACTACAGGAGCTACATAGCTGAGTCGATCTAACTTCATAGTGTAAACCCAGTCCAAAGGTGGGGACGGATAAGCCTGCTGTCTATTCTGGCTGCACAACTTAGCATCAGGGTTCTGATTTCTTAGAACAATCAGCCAAGTAGGCTGCAGAATGACTAATTTCATTTGAACTGCACTCTTTCAAGTGTTGTATTCCGGGGAAATGTCACAGAGAGAAACAAGCCTAAATTATTCTCATATCTATTATTAGTATATCAGATGATTTGAGCATATTTGCTGAGGAGCAGAAGGCTTAGAAGGATTAAATATTTATCAGGAAATGTTGATTTCACTGTCCACACAAAACTATTGATCAAATATTTCTGTGTATAATAATCAGAAAAATGTTGCATGAGAACTTACTGAGTTTGATTTAAGGATATTTACTTGGTATATATTAACGTGGAATGTTGACAATTTGTGTTAATAGGTTACAAAGCTTTACATTTTAAAATCTCAAAGTCCGCTGTTATCTAATAATTTTTACCTGAGATACATGCTCATCATTTTCCACAACTGTGAAACTTTAAACCAATAAGAATTTTAAAATGCTTACAAATAAATATTGATATTTTCCATCAAAATATAATTCTGCTACCCCTATTTTTAATTAAAAAAATGTATAGTTTCATGTAGCTGGTGGAAGTAGCTAATTATCCTTATAGCCAAACGTAAAATTAGTGGAAAGTCTGAGACTCCTGGATGCTTTATGAAAATCACAAGAATGCAAAATACGTAGGACAATGTATAAGTAGGGATGACAGACAACAGCAGGCCGGGCCAAGCCACACGATATTTATTGGTATCTCATTGCCCAAATCATGTTTGCACAAGACACAGAAGTGGTAAATATTCAACCTTGTATAAATAACTGATTTAAGGTTTATCATCTTATGATCTATAAGGGCTAGAAATGGAAGGGACGTTTTATCACTCAAAAAAGAGATTCCCAAGGTTTGAAAAGGATGCTCAACTCTTGCTTCTGACACTCGTAAAAGCTCCTAAAAGTTAGGCCTTAACAATCACATCGTTATTAATAGGTTGCAAGAATTATATTTTTGTGTTTGTCTAATTTTTAAGCATTTTAAATTTTTTTGATTGATTTAAATTTTTATTATTGCAGGAAATTCAGGGAGTAAATAATTAAGGGCAAATACTGAGATTCAAATTGTTAAAGCTTTATAATTGTTAAAACACAAATTGTCAAGCCACACAAAATAATTATACGTAAATCAAACTCTGAATTCTCAAGCATGATATTTCTAATTTTGCCTGTTGGTTAAGGCCAGTGATTATAAATGGAAATATGTTTTCATTGGGGAGGTGTGTGAAATAAACATTTACCAACATTTATCAATGAAAATCAAATCCCGCTAAGCCTAATTTTTGTCTGGGAAAGCTGTTTTTCTTTTCCTTTGAGGTCTTCACAGTGGGACTCATGGTGCTAAGGGAACCTGGCCTGTTACAGGAAGGATACTAAAATAATATCAGGCTTAAAGTTAAGTATGTGAGTAGTCCCTTAGGACTATCCACATGCTTAAAATGTATCATGTATGTAAACGTTTGTAGGACTGCAGCCATAAGGCTTACCATCTCTCAAATGTATCCGCACCCCCCTTGTTAGTGTGGTATGTAACAATTCCATGGTGATACGATAAATTTGGCTTTTGAAGGGTTTTGTGCACCAGAGTCACTTAGAGGCTTTTAAAACCACCACTTCTGAGTATCAGAGGGGTCGCCGTGTTCGTCTGAATCTGCATAAACAACGAGAAATCCTGTGGCACCTTATAGCCGAACAGATTTATTGGAGCATAAGCTTTCGTGGGCAAAGACCCACTTCGTCAGCTGCATGTCACCTCTGAGTGTGGATCATTTGAGGTGACTTATATGGCTTAGCTGCAGCTTTGACACTTATGAGCACCCTGGTCATCCAGAACTCCTATGGATTAATAAAATCACCCTTAAAAAAATAGTCTTCTGTCCATTATCATTCTGAAGGCATTCTCTGCAATGGGAACTAATGCAGCGCTCTTCACTTGAAGGCTGGTCTATCCAGCCTTTTATATCACTACAGTAAAACTCCAATAGTCGGGCACTCCTGATAGTCCGGCATCAAAATGGCAAGAACCTAGTGAGTGAGCTTCAGCAAAAAATGAGTCACAAGGTAACAGCGGCAGCAGCTGAACTGAGCAAAAAGGGTAAAAAAGGCTTAAAAAAACAAAAACATTACAGTATACTGTATGTACAATAAAAAGGGCAGGGAACACTTTATAAACAGTATCTAATGTATACAGTATATATAAAAAACCATCTTATAGTACCTCCTTATAGTCCGGCATATTTGATAATCCGGCACCACCTAGGTCCCATAGGTTCCAGATTATTGGAAGTCTACTGTATATCTTTTAGAAAATAGCTTTGAAAATTGAGGAAATTACGTTACAGCAGGCATAGTTTGTGCGCAGTTAGAGTGTGTAAGCTGTACCCTATTACATTTATTGAAATAAGATACATTAGTATCGGCATCTTTATACCAGTATAACTGGACCTACACAAGGAGGCTACTCTAGTTTAACCATTTTGATAATAAATCATACCCCAAAGCAACATCACTGAATCATTACAAAAACCTGTAGCTTGGTATGCAAAAGGGCCTATGTGAGCCCCTTTCTGTTTGTCTTTTATAGTAGTAGTGGTAGATTTTGTCAACTCTATTTCCCCTGGAACAATCTATCAATGAATAGTTACCTTAATAGATTTCTGATCTCAGACATGATAAAGTGAAACCTGGTTATGGAAAGAGGCAGTGATATTCAGTCTGCTCAAAATGTCATTTTTTAG